TCAAGACATCTTCTGTCTGTAGTTCTAACCTTCCCCCATAATAATACGTTCTTGGATTGCATGAACTCAAACACAGAACTTAATTTTCTTATACTTACTGATCTTTGTGAATTTTGAGTAAAAATTTTATAATTTTCCCTTCAATTAATCTTTTCTTTCTTCAACTAGAGGAACTTAAAAATTTAAATTACTAGTTAATTATTAAAAACTTGCAAGACTAAATAATTATACAAATTAAAATAACAATTCAAGGGTCCTTTAATATTTCTTTCTTTTTTTTTTTAAGAATCGCATAAGGAAGCATTTATTTGAAGTTTAACATGAAGTCATACAAACAAAATGTATATAAACACAAATCCACATTGAGTCATAACACAGATAACAAAGGACGAAGTAAAAACAAAGAAAACTAATTGGCAGCTACATACAGTTGGACACATTTGTGTCTTGTATACAGGAAAATCTTTTACAGAATAATCATTTTAGCTCAACAGAAGACCAGTCTTCGCTGTTGTCCTGCAGGATGTGTTATGTGAGCATTTCCTCCTGTGTTCCCCAAAATCCTCCTTCAGTATGGCTGGTAATAGTTTTGGTGATTGCCACTGCCTCGAGATGCCTTGCCCTAAGTGCTCTGTGGGCCACTGTAGTCTGCATATCCCTATCCATTTCCATAGTCCCCATAGTTATACCCAGTGTAATCATATCTGCCGTAGCCACTGTAGCCACCACCATAGGCACTATTGTAATTTCCATATCCTTGATCATAATAGTTATTAAATCCTTGGTTCCAGTTTTGGCCCTGACCTGGGCCTCCACCCCTAGTACCACCTCGTCCACGGACGCAGCACCTCTTCCTCCTGTTGTTGCTGCCTATAGACTTCTTTGGGCTGTGCAACTTTGATTTCACACTTCCCAGAACCAATTTGATGGTATCTGCTTTCTAACAATTTCTTTACGGGCTCTTCATCTGTATATGTGACAAAACAAAATCCCCTCCTTTCATTTGTTTTTGTATCCATGGGAATTTCAAAATTTTTAATCTCTCCAAAGGCTCTAAAATATTCTTTAATCTGTTCTTCAGAAGTATCTGGGCTCAGTCCTCCCACAAAAACCTTTTTAGGGGGCTCTTTCCTTTTTAAAGCTTTGGCTCCTTTGGGGTCTATCAGTTTGCTATCCACTTTGTGTTCTTTCAGTTCCAAAACCTTATCAACACTAGCAGCATCTTTGAAAAAGCACAAATCCAGATCCTCTTGATCTACCAGTGACTGGATCTGTTTTAACTGTGCAGTCTACAACTTCCACAAATTGAGACAAATATTCAGTCAGATCTTTCTTGCTTGTATCCCCGCTCAAGCCTCCAATAAACATTTTACCATCATCCTGCTGATTCTTGCTGGCCTTGATCTCGGATCCCTCTGCGAATTCCTCTATGTTGCTGTACTCGCTCGGGTCCTCCCTGGTGGCCCATGTCGGCAGGGGGTTGCTGGCACGCAGTCCGGGTTGTGGCGGCAGCAGCAGCAGCAGCAGCAGCCGCAGCGGAGGCGGAGTGTCGTATGGAGCTGGATTTAAAATGGCCTAATATTTCTTTTAAGGTGGGACTGCTAGCAGCAAGTTTTCTCCATCTGAGTCTATCTGGAAGTACCTTCATTTTTACTTTTCCTATAATTTTAAAAAGTAGATTTGCTGAACCTGACATCCCTAGTTTACAATTCTTTTCTTTTGCTGTTTGCATGTGCCACCCCAGTGCCTTGCCACCACTGTTTCTGATAGAAAGTCAAAGTTCAGTCTTTAGTGTTCCCCCTGTAGATGAAGAGACATTTTTCTCTCGCTGTTTTGAATATTCTCTTTTTGGCTTTCCACAGTTTGACTATGATGTGTCTAGGCGGGTCCAGGAGTGGACATGCTTTTTCTTTTTTTTTAACTAAAAGTTAACACTGAATCTATAAATTAATGTTTTTCATCAAATTTGTTATGTTTTTAGCCATTAATTCTGCCAATAGTTTCCCCTCATCTTTTCTTTCTGAGATTCTCCTGCATATGCTGGTGTGGATAACAATGTCTCACAGGTCATTTTCATTTATTTCCTTTCTCTTTGTTCTTCATAATTGCTATGAATTTATTATCGTCAAGTTTACTGACTATTCCCTTTTTTGTTTTTATTTTAAAACATTACTTATGGAGGTACAAGTGTCTTTGTTACATGTACACCTGTACAATGCTTAAGTCAGGGCGTTTTATGTGCCTGTCACCTCAATAGTCCTTGTTGGAACCAACAGGTGAGTTTCCATCCCTGCCCCCCCCCCTTGGTTTCTTGTGTCCTTTACATCACTTTGTGCCTGTGTGTACCCACTGTTTAGCTGCCACTTGTAGTGAGAACATTCGGTGTTAGGTTTTACATTCCTGAGATACTTCACTGGGGATAATGGTCTCTAGTTCCATCCAAATCCAAATGGCATCATTTCATTCCTTTTTATGGCTAAGTGATCCTCTATGGGGTGTGTGTGTGTGTGTGTGTGTGTTTATCTCACATTTTCTTTATCCACTCATCAATGAATGGGCAATTCGGTTGATCCCTCATCTTTGCAATTGTGAATTGTGCTGTGATAAACGTTTTAGTGTGGGTGTCCTTTTAATAAAGTGACTTCATTTCCTTTCAATAGACACCCAGCAGTGGGATTGCTGGATCAAATGGTAGGTCTTCATATATTTCTCGAGGAACCTCTGTACCATTTTCCATAGAGTCTGTACTGATTTGCAGCCCCACCAACAGCGTATAAGCCTTCCTTCAGGCATCTACTCCCCCATCTATTGTTTTTTGACTTTTTAATACTGGAATTTCTGACAGGAGTGAGATAGTATCTCACTGTGATTTCAGTTTGCATTTCCCCAATGATCAGTGACATTGAGCACTATTTCAGGTGTGTGTTGTTTTTGGCCATTGATCTGTCTTCTTTGGAAGAGCTTTTGCTCATGTCTTTGCCCATTTCTTTTCTTGCTGATTTGTTAGAGTTCCTTGTGGATTTGTGATCTTGGTCAGTCATCAGATGTGTAGTTTGTGAATATTTCCTCCTATTCTGCAGATTGCTCACTTTGTTGACTATTTCCTGTGCTCTGTGGAAACTTTTTAATTTAAATAAATCTCATTTATCCATTTTTGCTGCTGCTTTTTCTTTGCGTTTGGGGTCTTAACCATTGATTCTTTGCCTCGGCTGATGTCTAGAAGAGGTTTCCCAGCATTTTCTTCCAGAGTTTCTATGGTTTTTGTGCCTTACATTTAGGTCTTTTATTCATCTTGAATTAATTTTGTGAGTGGTGAGAAACTTCTGTTTCCCGGCATCATGTATTGAACAGGGCTTCCTCTCCTTAGTGTGTGTTGTTTTCTGCTTTGTGAAAGATCAGTGGGCTGTCCATAGATGGTTTTATTTCTTCTGGGTTCTCTGTTCTGTGCTACTGTCTATGTTGTACTTTTATACCAGTATAAGCTGTATTGGTTACTATAGCCTAGTAGTGTTATTTGAACTTATGTAATGTGATGCTCCAGATTATTTCTTAAGTTGCTTTGGCTATTCAGGCTCTTTTCTTGGTTTGAGATGAAGTTGAGGATTATTTTTTCCAGATCTGTGAAATGTGATGTTAGCCAGATGGTTTTTCCTTTGTAGGTCAGTTGTTGCCTACGTCTAGCTGCTTGTAAAATGTTTTCCTCTGTTTTGACTTTGGCCAGGTTGATTACTGTATGTCTTGAAGATTTCCAGTGTGCTATGAATCTTCCTGATTCCCTGACTATCTTATGTCTGGATGTCTGGACCTCTAGTGATCCGAGGAAGTTTCTGTCACTAATTCACTTGAATAGATTTTCTTTGTTTTTTGCTTTCTTTTCTTCTTTCTCAGCAATACCTATCATTCATATGTTTATTCACTTCACATAATCCCACATCTCTCTCTGCTATTTTTCTGCCTTTTTTGTTCTTTTTCTGCTTCTTGATATGACTGGGTTAGCTTGAGAGCCTTGTCTCAAGCTCTGAAATTCTTTCTTTTCCTTTGTCTGTTGATGAAGCTTTCTGCTGTGTCGTGAAATTCTTTAAGTGACTTTTTCATTTCCTTAAGTTCTGTTATATCCTTTCCTCTGT